TGGGCTAGATGGACCTTTGGTCTGACCCAGTACGGCCGTTCTAAGCTCAGGGTCGGGGGTCTCACTGGACCACCCTGATTTTCATGCAAACCTGCTCCTGGGTGGCCAGGCTGGCAGCTATCGTGCCCTAGACGGCCAATTTCCTGTGCCTAGTGTGGAGGTCGTGGATGAGGTCCACGATGTCCGCACTAGACCAGGTGGGAGCCCGCCTCTTGCAGACCTGGGCAGGCTCCCGGGAGCCGCCAGCCTGGTCCCAGGAAAAGGCGGAGGGCTGGGTGACAGCAGGTGGCTGGCTCGAGCTGTGCCAGGTGCAGGGTCTGCTGGCTGGGTGCTGGCAGGCTTCCACCTGGCACGGGCACCGTAGCCAGCCCGTGCCCCTTTAAGGGCTCCGGGGCCGGGAGGGGGGCATAGAGTTTCCCTGGTGTTGGCCAGAGTGGCCACCAGGGAAACCTGGGGAGGGCTAGCCTCCCACTAGTTCGAATTAAGGGGCTACACACCCCTTAATTCGAACTAGCTAGTTCAAACTAGGCTTAATCCTCGTAAAATGAGGTTTACCTAGTTCGAACTAAGCGCTCCGCTAGTTCGATTCAAATTCGAACTAGCGGAGCACTAGTGTAGCGGCTATGAATGTTAGTTCGAACTAACGTCCGTTAGTTCGAACTAACATTGTAGTGTAGACATACCCTGAGTGCCTTCTCTAAGATAAATACATCACAACACATATTTATTAAAAATCCACCCAACTCCCTAGTTGGGGAGAGAACAAACACACAACAGGTGTTATTCACCTCACTTAACGCGCTACTGGACAGTGCTCAGTACAATGGTGATGAGTGTGGTATAAGAACCTACACAACATAAAAAGGAAGTTTTAGGGTTGGGTTTTTTTGTTATTTATATCTGCTTTTTTTTAAAACCTTAGAGTATCAAATCTGGTCATCTTTGGTATTGCCATAATGATATTTGGTATTTACCATAGTGATGAAAGAGCTCAGAAAACGTCCATTGTCAGCTCTAATGCCTTAACTGAAGGAACATAGGCACAGAATTTTTTACAAATACATTCTCCAAAATGTTTGACATTGGTGTTAAAATATTAAATGAAAACGCATTTTAAATAGTGACTAAAATTCCCTTCTCTCAGTTGTTCAACTTTCAGTCTCTTGATTCTTGACATAATTTTACAAATTCCTCAATTATTAGAATTCATAGAAACTTGCAGAATTGATAACACCTGAATTTTAATGTAAAAAAGTAAGAAAAACCATGGGTTTTCCCTCTCTGAATGCACTCTCTCAGGGGATCAAAGAGGACAGCCAACATATTCTTCTGCCTTCTCACCTGAAGATAAATGTTGCAATACACAAGAATAGAATGGAAAATCTGAGTTATAAGCATTCAAAAATGGGTGAACTTTGGATGCCAAACCAGGTAAGTGCAACAATGTTTTAGTAACTACAATTAATATTTCATTTGCCTTGAAGGATTTGTGTATTTTCTGCTTACTTGTTAAAACCTCAGATGTACAATCAACAAGATGATACAATTATATAAACATCATTAAAACCTGTGGTTTTAATCAATCACATAGCAACAGATGGTCATTGATCCTGAACTATCTATTTTTCTCCATCTATCAATGTTGTGCAAATGTTTATCTTACATTTGCTTGCTCGTAAGTAAAACAAGCTTAGACTGGAGTCAAGGACAAGAAATCGGACTCAGAAATAAACAGTCCCATCTTCAATTTTGCCTGCAAAGCTAATGCATCTAGCATGAATTAAGATTAATAATAAGAATAATACTGTATTTTTGCAGATCTATTACACCTTTCCTACAATTATCTCCAAACATTAATTTACTTAGGGCATGTCTATACATGGAGAATAAATTGCATGTATAAATAAGTCCTTAGCCTCAATACTCATTTGGAGTAAGTAAACGTTAGAGAACATTTTACTTATCACTGAATGCAGTCAGTTCGGGGCAGAAGACAACATCTGTTTAACAGAACATAGCAACACTAAACAAAATTCCAGGAGAATAAGTGAAAAAGAACACTGTGGCTACGTCTAGACTACATCCTGTTTTCGTAAAAGGAATGTAAATTAGACGTATCGCAATTGCTAATGAAGTGGGGATTTAAATTTCTCTATGAAAAAAAATCTCTATGAAATAAAGGATAAGGGAACTTTCGGAAAAGGCTTTATTTTCTGCAAGATCCGCGTCTAGACTGGCGCTTTTTTCCGGCAAAGCTCCGTGCCGAAGAAAAGCGGCAGCCATTTTTATGCTAATGAAGCGGGGGAAATTTACATCCCCACTTCATTATCAATTGCGATACATCTAATTTACATTCCTTTTACGAAAAAGGGATATAGTCTAGACGTAGCCCTCATGTATCAGAAACTAGAATAATTTGTGAATTGAAATTTGACCTAAACATTGATGTTAATATCCCTTCTCTTTCAAATATTGTCATAGCATCTTTAACGATCACAAGAGAACAGCACCTGAGTTTAAAAACCTCATTCAAATGGTCTATGTCTGGATACACTGTTTAGTAAGCAGATCATCTCTCACATAACTTTTACGTACTTCAATACCACATCTTCTCAACATAAATTAGAGTGCTTGTGCACAAACAAGAACATAAAGAAAATAAAAACACACCAAGAAAACATACAAAGAAAATGCTTAACGAATCAGAAAAGACAGAATTGGGAAGAAAATAATTTTTATTTTAAAGGGGCTGGTACCAGCACTGCGGTGCAATAAAAACAAAAGCCATAGGAAGTTCTTGACAGTGTTGTAGGGGAGGAGAAGCCTCTCAGTCTTATTTTGATGTTGGAATGACAGATTCTTTCTTGCAAGAAAGAGGGAGAAAATATTTTTCTCATACTTTAGAGTGTGGTGTAAGAAATATTAGTTTTCTTAAGGAAAAATACCAAAACAATATTAATATACAAAGACTCTTCTAGATGAACATTAGATTTTGAAGTGTTGTAGCTATGTTGGTCCCAGGATATGAGAGAGAAAAGTTAAGTGACGTAATATCTTTTATAGGACCAATTTCTATTGATGAAAGACACATGTTTTCAGGGATATACAGAGGAAAATGTCCAGATACCTTGAAAACTTGGCTTGTCTCTTTCATCAATAGAAGTGGACCCTATAAAACATATTACCTCATCTACTTAGTCTCTCTCATTAGAGTTTGAAACATTTTCTTTTTAAATAACAAATACCAAATCACATGTCAGAAGAAGTACCAGCAGTTTATAAAATGGAATGTAAATTCTTCTACTGTACCGTATTTAGAATCCCAAAGAAATTGTATGGTCTCTTTGGGCCTGGACTGAGGGTGGCATCCACACAGATGAATGAATAGTTTCCAAAAGGAGTCCTGTGCACATAATGGAAAGAGCCATCCTTCTGCCAGGCAGAGTACTTCCTGTCAGAACAATATGGAAATATCAGAGTCAGGAAAGTTTAGAGCAATGGCAAAAGGGAAAGGATATAGAATATAAGATTTCAGATTAAATTCCATCTTCCTATTACGGTAAAGTCCACTATAAAAATCCGTGAGCATGGGAAGATCTTTATTTCAAAGAGGACAAACTTTCTGATCCATGTACCACAAACTTGGGTTTAAAGCAGGTTAGCACTCAAATGGTTAAAAGAAAGGGTCAGAGTAGGTACATTTTCTCTGTGCAAAATGCTGCTCTTTACAGATAAAGGACAGGAATAAATGCAGGACACCACCAGGAGAATCAGCTGAATGAAAGGGTAGCAGAGCCACTTACAATCCTAATTAAAAGAGACCTGCAGAGAAAACAAGTTGGTCTTATATCATGTGTTTATTTTTGGTATAAAGAGAAGACCTGGAGCAATTCTTTAAATTGTGCATTCTAATTTAGAAGCATCAAAAATGTCAAGTCTTATCTTCCCTATTATACTAGAGTTCCTTCCTAGATGATTCTAATACAGATTATAAAAACAATTACCATTTGCTGAAAGGGTTTGTTATTGAATTGTTTTTCAAACACCCCCAAAACAAAAATAACACAACACACGACACAAAACCTTACAAATAACAAAAAAAACCCAAAAGCCCACCATCTTCTCTCACTCAAGTTCTTCCCTGGTAGCTGTGCTATCATAATTCTACCAGTTCTCCAGTTACCCCCAGAGTCGCAGGAAGAACAACACTTGAATTTCTTATGTAAAATACAAGCAATTTAAAAAAAAATGTCCAGACCTTATAAGAAACAGAAGGCAGGAACAAGGCTTTCCTTTGCACATTAGTTAATACAAGTGTTGGTATTATTTATTCTTAAAAGAGATTTTTAAGAATAGGAAAAGAGGGAAATACATTTTTCTATTCAAGGCATTATTCTAGTTAATTGTAAAAGAATAAGGTATAGAATACAAGTTTCTTCCTAGATAACAGGTCGTCTTAACCCTAGGCATAGCTGAGTTCTAAATAAAGACTGTTGAAAGTGTCATTTTGAAAGAGATTTTACTCCATTAAAATAAGGAATCAATCTTTCAGCCAATGACATTTATTAAGAAGCTCAAATGAAAACTGATAAATTCTATGTGACCTCTAACTTATAATTGTGCAACATTCTAGGATTAGCTGAGATTTTTGTTTTCAATTCTGGAATTTTTTAAGTCCCACAGTATGTACAAGCTAAAGTGTCCATAAATTTAAATAAGGAATACAATTTGTTCTGTTAAATAATGCACCCAAAAACAGTTTCCATATTTAGGAATTTGTAACCTTCACCAACTAGTGCAGTGGTTCCCAAACTTTTCGGCATCACGCCCCCTTTTAGATTTTTGAGAAACCCGCATGCCCTCCCTCTCAAAAAAAATAGCAGCAAAACTTGGGGTGGGATTGACAGAGGGAGGGGGTGCATGGCTGGGTCGCCTCGTGCCCCCCTCTGGAATTTCTTCACACACACCCAGGGGGGCATGCCCTCCAGTTTGGGAACCCATGAACTAGAGTAATTGCAAAAGTTCAGAAAGCCAGGGCTAAACAGAAGAAAAAAGCAATACTTTAAAAATAAGTTTACTTAGCATGTATCTTAGTAAGTTTACTTAGCAAGAACCTTGGCAGCTCAAGTACTGCAATCAGAATGATCATCTTCTAATACTGCATGAGAATATTTCATCAAGCTTACTGTTAAGGACTGCCTTAGCATAGCACCTTGTAAACGGCACTAAAAAACCCTGGGAGTCTTATACCACCACCTTAAATAGGATGTTTTTACTCCCACTTAAAGTATGGTGAATAGATTTGAGTTTTAGCCCCTGTGTTCATAGGGCAGAGAAATAATAAGCACTGCTGTTCTTGTGTTCAAATAAAATCATATTATTTTGCTAAATCTTTGCATTTTAAGTACAATGGCTGCCTTTTGCAATTTTAAATACATAACAGTTAGCAGCACATAATCCTGAGAAAACACACACACCCCACCATCTTTTCCTGGTTTTATTTTTTTTTGCTTTTATCATCCTGCAAACTATAGGGCTGTGTCTACATTGGCCCCTATTCCGTAATAGGGATGCAAATGTAGCACTTTGGAATAGGCAAATCCGCGGGGGGATTTAAATATCCCCCGCGGCATTTGCATTAACATGGCTGCCGCTTTTTTCCGGCTTGTAGATAAGCCGGAGAAAAGTGCCAGTCTGGACGCGATCCTCCGGAAAATAAGCTCTTTTCTGGAGGATCTCTTATTCCTAATTCCCCCCCAGCACAGCAGGGAGACCCGGAGCAGCTTTTCTCGCCCCGGAGGACGCAGCGGCGGGACTGCTGCACTCTGGGCGGTCCCGCTGCCCGCGAGCTCAGGGGCGAGAAAAGCCCCGTTCGTAAGTCGGGGACTGCCTGTATTTGGCAAAGGTGAACTATGAATAGATGCTCTTTGCTCTTGGATTCGCAGACTCAGGGAAGTATAAAAAAAAACCACGTACCTGTAGTAATTTTGGACACTGTCCAAGTGTGGAATGTTGAATGAATCTGCAATGAAACAGAAAGATTTCTAAAAATCACCCACAGAGACAGTCAAGTAATTCCACATCTGGACATTATTAGGTTAGGACTGAAAAAAGACCAGACAGAACAAAACTTTGATTCTTAGGATCAGCTGGAGTAAAGATTTTGAATCACATTTCTTTAAGGTAGATATAATCGATTACTACGTTAGTTATTCAGCTCAGGAGACATGGGTTCAAATCCTAAATACCTCACATATGAAAACTAGATTGTCCATTTCATCTCTCTCTCTATAAACATTTTTTCCTGCCGGACGACAGAGTTACATCATCATGGCACTCTGCATCCCGTCTGCCTACTTCCTCCCTCCTCCCCGGTGCTCAGTGGCCAGGGAGGGATGGGGAGCGCAGAGCCTTGTCCTTGCCTCCGCCCCCACCTATTCCGCCCCAGCTGCTGGAAGGAGAGGGCCTGGCCTCACAGCAGCCAGGGCGGGGGCAGGGAGCCAGGGTTGGCCCAGCCTCAGCCTGGTGTCTGGGGGGAAAGGGAGCAGGCCAGGACTGCTATGCCTTTGCCTGGCCCTCCCTGGAAGCTTGGGAAAGAGCCAGGGCTGCTTACCCCCCCGAGAGAGGGAGAGTTACCGAACGTAGCGAGCAGAGAGCACAGCCCCCTAGTAGCCCTTTATGGCCATTTGTCCATAATACAGGTTGGGACTTAAGTGCCTTGTGTAGAAGATTGCACAATACTTGCCAACAATAAACTAGGCTCTAGCTTAGTTATTAGTTCATTTTATAAGAACCAAAAACTTACACAAGTGCTTATAGATAAACTATGTTGTATCACTTTGTACCTCAACTGCTGTTTAGTCATAGTTTCCTTTCTATTATGAATCTGCAATGAAAGAAATAAAAGTAAGAGGCTATTAAGATGGAGCCACTGCTCTGAGTTTTCTATTGCTCTCTATTGGACAGCAGTCTCAGCAGTCTTTGGCAGATTGCACTGACGAACTTATTTCCCATTGAAATTCATGAAGCATTATTGCTTGCTATTTTAACTCATCTGGGTCCAGTAGCTACCTTTATCTCTTTTTGGTCTATGCTTCTGGAGATGGATACCATACCTTTGACAAGCTCAAACACCAGACTGGGTGATAGATTAATGTACTAGTTTTTCACCTCTGGAGATTGGTTAGGTCACCAGCAAATTTCCCTCTACACAGTTTATGACAACATGGTGTGTAAATCTAATCAGACCTAGTTTGCTATGTACTAAGTGCCTGTGTGAAACATGCTGCCACACATTTAAAGCTCCCTAATGTGTTTTAATCTATTCCTTTTTCAAAGCGCAGTAGGTCAATGCACACAAGCACGCATGGCAAGCGTGCATAACAACAAGATCCACATGGACATAGTCTGCAACAGGCTAGTTCAGGATAGATTTACACCCAGCTTGCTCAAAACAAGCCCTAAGCTATATGCCTGCACAGATGCGGTGCAAGCCACAGAGAGAAACTTTCTACACTGGAGGGCTCTGCCTCTTTCCAAATGGGAGCTCTAAATGTATTCCCAGTCATATAGACAGATGAGTGGGCAGATAGCCACCCATATAGCTGCCATGATACCATATGGATACTGCTACAGTCAAAGAAAGATGAAAAAGGAGCAGTTACTTCTACATGACAATTCCTGATGTAGCTTCACTTAGTTGGCCAGCTCAAAAGTGGTGTTCACCATCACTAACTTGTAGCATAAGACAGTAATACAGATCTATGATTTCCTGCAGGGGTGGCAAAATTTCAGGATATAGAAGGTAACTTTCTTAGAAATCTGTGTAGAATGCACTACAGAGCTGCAAGAATGGAAAACCAACATGAGAGTTCTCCTCAGCACAGAGAGGTGTATGACTACTACCAGATAGGAGCTCAATTTCCCCAACTACTACTGGTCAGTAGTTAATCAGTTTGGTATTGAAAGATCAGATTTTAGGACTGCTGTAATGGAGCTTTGTGCTGCTATTAAGATGATATGGGTGATCCACATTCATGCACAGGAGGCAATACACATGAGGTTGATGGACGTGAATGCTCTGAGCCATGACTTGTAAGTGGCCACTAATGGAAGATGGTCTGGAACGGTCTACAATCTTTAAAACTCATTTCCATTTTATAAAGTGAAAAAATGGGACTTTTGCTCCAAAGATCACTATAGACATTAATGGTTTTGTGATCTCATGTAATTCTGGGGGAAACAGCTTGCCAAATTTATGAAGCTTTTTACTACACACCTGATAGGAAAAAGGGACCCCGAGCAGCTGCAGAATGACAACAGACAGCAGATGTGAAAGAAATGTGTTGACATCTCATGACAAGGGCTGAATCCTTCTGAGAAAGATCTGCCTCAGGTTATAGCTGTTTGCTCTGTGTTTTACACAACAACTATGAGAACAAGGGAAAGAACCTCACCAAGGCAGAGGTGAAGACACCTGTAAAACTTTATAATCAGTGACGGTGCCCCTGTAAAATTCTTGAACTCATCAGAGAAGCATTGTACTGCTACTATGGAGACCAGGGTGCAATAAAGGAAAATATAACGAATCAACAAAATTAATATGTTTTGTTTGATTATTTTATTTAGGAACAGACGTTGTTAAACGTGAGTTTTTTGTAGTTCCATGAATTTTTCAGCAGACCTGTAAATAAAAAGCCTTTATTGATTTAAAAAAGCAGAGAGCAAAGTTAAAATAATTGGAAATAGGACACACGTGTCCCAAGTGCTGAATTTCTTGTAAGGAAAGTGATGAGTCATTGAAACTTCACATTATAGTTTTCAGATATGTGACCAATAACCTTTCCTTTAAGAGGAAAGCACCATCAGATTCCATCTCTAAAGTCATTGACTAAACAGGAATCCTACTATGTGGGAACAAAAGGAGGAGCTGAAGTAGAAACATGAAATTGTGAGTCTGGATAACTAAATAGATAAGAAAGGAAAGACAGAATTCATTCTCTCACAGAGCAACGACTCTCATACTGGGAGAAGGTAAAGAGATACTCTCATAAAAACCCACAGAAAAAAGTCACTTCTGAGTAATCTGTTTTACTGAGGTGTAATGTTATAAAACAGTTTTGGTCTCACAATAAGAATCCTAATGGAAACATTTACCAAACAAAAATCCCTAAAGTAAAGAACTTCATAAATTGACCAGGGAGCCAGAGAGTATTTGTTTGTTGGCTTTCACTGTTGCTGCAGTTAACTTAGTATTGGAAATTACTTGTCTACTGATTTGGGTTCATGTTGACAGAGAACAAAGTAGTCATAAGCTAAATGTTTTATATGAGAAGGTAGAGAAATGAAGACATTTTAGGGTATTTTTTTCAATTGGTGAATAAGGTCATTTGTGAAAACTGAAGAAGTGTTGCAGAAACTCCTCCAGAAATCCTTTCTATGTTCAGGTGCTAGAGTAGATCTATCTACGTGATTGATTATTAAATGAGTTTCTTTACAATTTTTACTCAGTTATTAGCCAGTCAGCAGACAGAAGCAAGGGAACACCTTCTTCCTTGTTCTCTAAAGGCCTAATCCTGACTTCAATTAATTGAGACTTCAGTTGACAAACCTTATCTTAATGGTGCATAACATGATCTACCAGACAATGAATATCAGCATCTCAAAGTAGAAGGTATCCTACAACTTTCATTTGACTAGACTGGGTTTCTTATTTCCCTGGGATTATTTGGCATCTTCATTAAAATAATAGTTTCTTGTCTCTCTCTTACCATGATTCCCTTTGATGTCTATCCATTTGGTTTTCTCCATGACTCTTGATCTCTTCAGGATCAACTGGTAAGTTTGCCACTCCACTTCAATCTGCTCAGAGCCCAATTTATCCTTTGTTTTGGCATCTGTCAAGTCACCTGTATGTGCACAAGGCCAAGACTGAATTACATGCTACATTCTTCATAAATCACACAAAAAAGCTATAAAATACAATCATACAGTGTACTGGCCTTACACTCTACACCAGTGGGCCACAAACTTTTTATGATTGTCCCTCTCTCCCACCACTGTCTCTGCCCTCCTCTTTGCCACAGACTGCGTTTCCTCCCCCTGGGAGCCAAAGTCAAGAATGGAGCCGCAGCCAGGGGCAGGATCAGAGCTGCAGCCAGACCGCAGTGGGGGCCCACAGTTGGGGTCATGGCCAGGAGACAGGCCAAAGCTGGAATGAAACAGACCCAGGGCAAAGCAGAGAACAGGTCGTGCCCTCTCCCAGCCCTATGGGGGCTAGTCTGGGCACTGTTGCATCTCCCTGAATGTTGCTCTGTGCTCCCTGGGGGATGCACCTCACAGTTTGGGGACCACTGCTCTACACAAGGGCTGGCTTTCTGTGAACAAATTCTATAGCCTATTGTCATTTAGTGCTTGTTTACTACTATAAAGACAAAACTCTTCGTTACCATGCGTTGGCTATAAATTATAGTCAAACTTGTGTTTAACATGTCATGGGAGCTCTTTTAATAATGCCAGATGCTTGCCTACAACCAATGTTCCCTCTTTTCCATCCATGGGCAGAATACAATTATATATGCACCAAGATGTGTGTGAATGTGCACCACAAATAGAAACAAAAAACCTAGCTTGCGGGCACTGTGCTAACTAGCTGCGCAGCATCTGAATTTCTCCTGTGTGGGCACATAAGCACATAGCTTACAGGGAACACTGCCTTTAACTGAGGAAGATTTTACAAGACTGCATTAAATTTTGAAAATACTAATGCAGAATCCTCAATTACAAATAATAACACCACCTTTTTGAAAGTTAACTGCTACATTTTCTGGTATAGAAAATCAGTTACCTGCCATCACCCATTTCAGAACTAATGAGGTTCCGACCCCATTTTTTTGTTCTTCTTTTCATTTACATTTTCTGAGGAAATTATATTTTAAACCTTTTTTCCTTTACTTAAATTGTTTAATTATTTCTAAAAATAGATTTAAATGTTTCTGAACTGCTAAAATCTATGCTAACATCTACCCAAGAAACAAGTTTGCTCAACAGATGAGACATTCATTTACCATATAAACTCTACCCAGTGACCAGTACCTTACTAGCACTTAGATTCTAGAATCTTGCATATAGATGTTACTGGAAAGTCACCTTAGATCACTTTATCAATATGGATTCATATTTATTATTGTGGCAGAACACATGAAATAAAGAGCTTATGTCTCTTTTGTTAGTCCTGATATGACACATGGTCAAAAAGAACATGAGCAATGCAAATAAATGAGTTCTCACAACTACAAAAAGGTTAAATAATGGAACAGAGGCTTATTCTTTTTACCCTCATAGTATATACATATTGAGCGCCACCACCAAATCTGATGCTCATTCTTTAGTCTCTGTATGAAATGAGCTCTCAGCATGGACCCTAGGACTGATGTGCATTGGCAGGACTGTAAGGAAAACTTTAGAATGCACCCAATACAAGAATCACAAGTCAGTGATGATAAGGGATGTAAAAAATTAACCAGTTCACCTGTTACCTGGTAAGCACTAGCCTTACAGGCATGCGTACCAAGTAACAGATTAATTGAAGGGCTTGGTGGGGGGGGAGCAGCTCCCTGCCCGCTGCAGCTCAGCTGGCAGGACCCCGTCCTGCCCTCCAGAACAGTCCTGGCTGGCTGGAGTGCCACCCTCCAGCCTGTGGAGGGTTAAGTTGGAGGAGCCAGCTGTGGGACCCCACCACAAGGTTAATAAATCATTTAACTGGTTAACTTTTTACTGCATATTTATATCCTTAGTGGTGATGAGTTTAGATACATCTTTGTATTAATCATAAATCTCTGTATCATCTCTGTATTAATAATTTTTCTCTGTATTAACTTTGTATTAATCATTCTCTCACTGAAGTTTTTAACTTTGTATCAAGTCCTTTTACATAAAAACTTTGTATCTTGTAGAATAGTCCCTGAAAATAAGTAAGGTAAAGAGAATGTCTTTGTACCCCCTTTTGCTTAATTGATTATCCTGTTGAGTGAATGAGTGTGAATGGATAAGGTGTGGAAGACAAGCCCCTCAGGGCACTTGCAATGGTTGGACAGGGGATGGAAGCCAGATCCCAAAACAATGGGACCTGTGAAGTGGGCTCACTGAAAGAAGACTGGACATATGGACACCTTGGAAGTCAGCAGCAAGGGCCTGCTTTTGGAAGCACCCTCTTTGAAGGTGAATATGCAGCATTGAGACACCACCCAAAAGAAGGTACCACAGATGTCTAATTGCATATGCATCTGATGAAGCTCAAAGATTATGCATATGCGTGTGATGACTAACTGGTGTAGATCTGCATGAGAAGGAAGACGCTCTAAATCTAAAGACATCTTGCAGGGGGACCCCAGATTTCGTCTCATCAACGTCAAAGCATCGATCCGGATCAGCAGAAGCCTGGCTCCATCCTTCCCCCACCTAGCCAGTGCAGTTAAGTTAGGGAGAGCAACTACTGGTAACAATAACAAGATGGGGTGTGTGTGTGATAGAGTGTAGTATATC